TTCGTGAAATATGACCGATAGTGGAGTGGTAAAAGGTGATGAAGCAGGACCCAATATAGATGGATGCAAAACAGTATCTATTGGTGTGGTGGGTGGTGGTTGCCGCTCATGTCTAGCCAAGAGAGGGAGGAGCCATACTACACACAGAAAACCCAGTCTACCAAGACATCCCCAAACAGGAAACTTTTGTATGGTAAAAATCCTATATAGCTAAAAAAAAGAACCCACCCCAGCTTTGTTGTAAATATATGCTCTTAGAACCTGTTTGTCTATGACCATTCTACTCGAGTATTCTATTCCCACGTACAAATACTGCTACCCTTCCGTTGCGTAACTTAGAGGTCATTTTGTATGGTAAAATGGAGCGGAACGGTCGTAGCCGAACAGGCCCTTAGTCTTGAGCCAAGTAATCGTTAAATTGATGTGGTCTATCATACAACAGAGGATACTCGTGCCAAGGTTCCAGCTAAGACGCTGCAATTCCGAAAATTCGCTTGCGCAGTTTTCGGGGGCACTCATCCTGAGTGCCCGACAGCTCAATGAAAGATTGCAGCTCAACGAAAAATTGTGGCTCAATTCCAGTTTGTGGCTCAGTTTTGTGGCTCATCACAATAATTAAGCCACATAATTCCATTGAGCTACCAAGTTTCAATAAGCCACAATGTTCTATTGAGCCACAAATTGTATTGAGCTATGGTGCCAGACACCCAAAAGGTGTCCCTGTGGGTGTTGCAAAATGAAATGCCTTATGTCATCAGGGCAGGGGTTATTCAAAATTCAACATGTAATTTATTGTATAATTATAATATACATTAATTTACATGTATGTTATTCCCATGACGATGTGATCGATACTTTTGATGAACCAGATTCTCATATTCCTTGGAGCCATAAATGACATGAGAGCGATAAGCTTCCATAATACGCTCAGTACGTGCCCAGTACTTCCAAATCAACTGATTCGGAACCTGTGCTAGAGCTTCGGGAACTAGACGCTTCAAAGATTCAAAATTATACTCACAATTATCTTGAGTATACTGCTTTACAGCTTCCCAATAGTCTTCAATGAAGTTCAACTTGCAATGGAATGCTGGACAGAAAATAACTTCATGGCCCCGATCAACATTTGCTTGCTTGATTTGACTTTTTTAATTAAGAAAGTTAGGTTGTATTGCGAGTAGTGCGCGAGCACAACAGGTTCCTCCATTCAAGCAAGTTGCTTACAGTTTTGCCGATTTCGAGGTTGTTGACTTAATCGTACATTGTGCTCGAAAATCAGGCTGATTTTGTGGCCAAAGGCCTCGTTCTTGAAGAACTATCCGTAAACCTTTAGGTCTCCCATCAAGTAAGACCATCGATTGTATATAACCACCGTTTGGGTGATCGGAGTCTGTGACGAAAGTATCGTGCATATGCTTCATATTCTTTCCGCCTGGTTCAAGGTTCATTTCAGAAACACACAATGTATCATCTGCAAATTTCAGATGATTTCGTGCATTATCAAATGCAAAAAGGGCTCTACAGCCTGGTAACTGCGCTTCGAAGGTGGGTATTGCTTTGTTAATTCCTTGGTCCAGTAATTTGTCTCCATTCCACCAGACTTCTCCTCCACACTTCATAATAACACATGCCTCCCCATCTCCTAATCGTCCAATTGGTGTAAGGAAGTCGGAAACATGTAGGCCTTGACCACGGCCTTTTTTTCTAAGTGGTTGATGGTCTGGATGTATCCAGATATAATGCCGGCCATCATTGGAATTGAACGTACACTCATCTTGAGTTACTAATATCAATGGTTGAATTTCACCTGAGAGATGTAATGGATTTGGAATCTCATATAAATCCTCATCCCATTGTCTCAGTTGCTCCTTGTAGGATTCCAATCTTGGTAGAAATATCATATCACGATATCTTTTAACGTCTTCTCGCTCATGACCATTGTTATGAATTCCCTTTCTGTACTCCTTATCCTTAAATCCTAACTTGGTGAGCCATCTGCTTGCTGTACGTGAAGCAATTGTTTTCTCAACCTCTCGGCGAATACTACTGGTTGATCGGTTCATAATCTGAGAATCATCCGAGGACTCTATAGCTTTCCAGTGGGCAACTATAGCTTTTGCTAAGTTTGTAGAAGTGAGTTCTAAATTATTATATTATCATACATGCACAATCGCCTTACATAAGGCTGCCGACTACCGTTCGGGTCTGTGAGTTACCCTTTCCCTTCACTTATCGCCGACTTCCTCTCTCTTACTGCACTTAGGAATAGTAATTGCATACCAAATCAGTTCAAAGTTAGTTACATAATTTCTAGCTCCCCCCTGATCGCTATCGATCCACTGGGCTCTGACTACCCTCCTGGCGAGGGAAAGGGGAGAATGATAGAAAACTACAACTATATCTTTAGGTAACCTAGGTTTCATTAATCCTGCGGGTGAAGGAGCTTTGGGGGTAGAGGGGGGTAAATGTAGATGAAGGGGTAGCCAAAGTTCAGTGGCTTTTTCCCCATTGAGGTGAAATTATTCTGTTCGCTTTTCTCGGCAGTACGCCCTGCCCTTCTTGAAGACCAAGGGAGTATGGGGTCCCGTGAGGTGGTATTGCGGCAAGAGATTACTGGAGGGTGTATTGATATAGCGAACTTTCTTACACTGCTGCAGTTTTCCGGAGCACTTGGTCTTAGTGCTCTCGACACCTTTAGCAAGGCATCCGCAAAGGGGGTCAAGTTCTAGAGCTACGTTTGATACTTAGACTCAATGCTGCTTTATTCGTCCTGACCCCTCCAAGGATATAATGTATTACCGAAACTCTATTTCTCTCTCCATGACCCCCGCAACACCGCCCGGTTCTTCGAAAAATTCACGTTTCTCACTGGGTTAATTTATAGTGCTTGTGGGGTGGGCGCGCCGGGGGGTGTATAGGTCCAGGAAGTATTATATCTGACTGGGTATTGTGGCAATTTGTTACTTCTTGCGGGGGGGGGGCATCCGATATCATCCGGCACGCGTAGTAAGTTTCCTGCTGGAGGCCACGCTAACCAACCCCCCCCCATGCTCACGGTCTCCTCTCTACCCGATACTACCGGAACTATGGCTATTCGCCTGCATTAAATATGGGTGTACGAGGTTGGTTCTAGAAATGGTGAGCGGAGTGGCACCAAGCAACCCAAACCAAGATATCATGATTCATACATTCAGTTCAATACATTCTAGAATTTTTAAAAATTTGGGGAATTAATAGTATGGCCCAAAGCTCTCTTGAATGTCTCCCCAAGTTTCTCACATACCATTTGAGGGTTTTTTGGTTATGATGGATTGACATCGTGTGGTGTGTTGTAAAGTTGTGGTTTAAAAATCCGCAAAGGCCAATGCGCTGTGGGGCCAGAGGTGGGGTTATGATAGGATGCTTTTTGCCATACCCTTATTAGTGCCTTGTAGGGCTAGGTTTTATCGGTTTAGATACGGCTTTTGGGGTGATGGTTCAGAGAAGTGTATATGTGGGCCCGCTCCCACAGAGCAATTTTCGAGTTGCCCCCACGTTAGTCACGGAGGAAAACAAAAAAAGGAACTATGATATTAAAATTTCCGCCAATTCCTTCACAGGGACATCTCCACGATATCGCAGAAGCCGGGAATAATATACTCGCCCACTTTGGACTCTGATTGGTGGAGGGGTTCCGAGTGGTGTCGGATAACATGGGTTGGGGTCTTCCTGGGCTGATCGGGGCGTTGGAAGCCGCTGCCATCAGCTCAGGTTAGTTTGTGGCAGCCGAAATTTTGCGGTATGAGTGATTGCCCGGCTTTATACTATATCTCTCGCCATAGCAGAATATGATCTCTTGGGTGGTTGCCAAAAACCACCGGAAGAAGTGATAGTCAATAGAAGTGAGAAAATACCACAACTTAGGGAACTAAAACAGTGTCCGCCAATGCCCACAGAAGTAACTCGGGTACGCGCAGGGACTCCTACCGCGGGTGGATGCACCACAGGGCACGGGAAAGCCCTGATTATGCAACCTTTTGTCTGCACTCTTCCAATCCTACTTTCTACTGCTTTCTTGCAGCTACCCTATCATACCTAGGGGATACATTCCGCGCGGGCCTGACTAGTCTGGAGAAAGCAGGGTAGTGTTTTTTCTACGTTCATAGGTGGCAGCAAGGTGATCTCAACATGTAAAAGGGAAGAAGGCTGTGAATCGCCGCTACTTGTGCCACCTCTGGAAAATCGAGTTTCGGGGTAATAGGAGATAGATCTTCTCTGGCCAAACGCAGTAATGATATCGTACTTTTCAGTCATTTCATTTTTGATAATCCCGTTGTGTCTTTGGGACGGATTCGTGAGCGTGAGCATCTATGTTGCCTTAGGGCTACCACTGCACAGGAGCACTGGAGCGTGCGTGATTGCCGGGGTGTGCGTGATTGGGGCGTGGGATTTTCTGTTTTGGTGGCGACCCTGAGAAAGTGGGATGGGCTACTGGATCGGGAGGAAGTCGGGCTTGCTATTTAGTGTATTCGGGTATGTGTAGGGAATTGTGTGTGTGGTGGGGTCTGCTGATATGGGAGACTGACGTTTACCCTTCCAATATAATCCCGGGGTTAAAGAAACTCCGACAAACTTGGTCTAGGAAGAGTGCTGTAATTCGCCCGGAGTTGTTTAGCTAGTGTATATTTACTAAAGAGTTTCAATAACGGGAATAATAACGGGTGATTCGACCCCACTCTATGCTCCTGACATCCTCGTTCCCCGCTTTTGAAGGGAATCTTATCTAGCCCAAAATATCTCAGGCATACGAATGCTTGCCCTATTGGGCAGATTTCATCCGCTTCTTGTACTCCACCTCACTACCCCCCCTCCTAACAGCTAGCTCGAATTCGCAGGGGTAGCTCTCCTTTGGGAAATTAAGTTGGATAGTTTTTTCGCAAACTTCCCCCGGAAGCCGTGTTGTGTGCGGGAACTCGGGCTAGAATTGCTCTATTAGAAAGGCAGAGACGCGGAGAGAGCTAGGCACTTGCGTTGGGTTCTGGCCACCGCGAGTGCCAGATTTTCGGCGATATTTGGGAGGCGGTTCTTGGTAATACCTAAATTTCCAGACAAAATTAGTTGACAAAGTGCGCGTGAGGGGCTGATTCTGGATTCACGTCCCATGGTGGCAAATCTTGTCTTAAACTCCGCAGCGCAGATTCTGGAACTTTCGCGTCTTTAGAGACGCCGTGTTTTAGGCGGTAGTAATTGCACAGGTGTCGTTTATACTGAGATTTGACACTCCAATGTTAGCAATTGACTCTCCGTTGATACCACACGGGGGAAAGGTCAATGATCACATTCTCCATTGGGGAGTAGCGTGATTTAGGCTTGCCTATTCCTCTTAATACATTAGCCCCCTCATGTCCCCTCCACACCTCCCACAACCCAAGGCAAACTAACCAGCATTAGTAAGGCTCCTAGCAATAAGACTGACAATTCTCTGCGCCTCAAGTGTTCCCACCATTTCCTCCCAAAACGAATGCACAAGTCCAAACTTAAGCACTGAACCTCCATCCAATCGTCTTTCTACCATTTTATACCATAGTGGAATACCAAAGATACTTGGGTAATCCAGCGGTGAGAATACCCCTTTTGCATTTAGCCAGGTTACGACTTGCTCCGCTGACATTTGGTGAAAGGGGTAGTTTGCTATTTCGCTGGATGGGGGGGAATATGGAGGCACTGGTGGGGTGTCATCTGGCGATAGGGTTCTTTCGGTCTCCCCTGGGAAGGGGGAGTATGATGGAGGCGGGAGCTGAGAGGCCGAGGACATTGCTTTACTCGGGGGGAAGGCGGGAGGGAAAATATCAGGAGGGGGAACGGTAGTGCTTCGGATCGTTGGCGGCGGGCGGTTTGGTGCTTATGTCCTTATTTCTTTTCTTGAGCGGGCTTGGTACAGTCTAGCGTTTGGCGTACAGCTTAGGAAATATATACAGAGGGAGATATAGCTTTGTTATCCGTAGAGTTACCCCGCGTTTGAAGTGCTATGCGCTATGCGACGTCGCACCCAACCATCCTAGAGCTCGCTCCACCGGATTCCTCTCTAAGCGGTAGAAATTCTACGTCAATGGCTGGTTCTCGTGTGCCGATAAAACCACTTGCTAACAAGGAAAACAAGGGGGATCGGAATCGCGGTTTGAATTCACATCACCCCGTTCTTATACAAATTGAATTTGCTGCATCGTATGCCTGGGGTAACCTGAGGAGGAGGGCAAAAAGGATACGAATAAAAATTGGGTAATGAGCCGATTTGGTGGGGCACAGTACGTGGGTACCCTTTATTCCTGCCTTCTGAAAATGGCTTGGAAGTGCGGACTAAAATAGTGATCAAAGGAACTTCAGCTGGGCTGTTTTGAAGAAGAGTTGCCAATATAAGTCATTAGTACAAATCGGTGCAATCTGGTTTGCACTGAAAGTATCCCAAACTTCCTTCATCGTTGTGTTGGATGGGGACCCGGAAAGATTGGGTATCCGGGATAGGCTAGTAGGGTGTGACTGCGGGAAAGACTGGAAATACCTATCTGGGATCTCCCCGTGAATGCCCGAGTGGGGATGCTGTAATGAAGAGTATTAATGACGAAGGTCGTTGCGAGATACCAATCCGGGAAGTGTATCGTTGATAGTGACTTTCTCCTACTCGTACTTGGGTGACATGCCCTCGTTTAGGGCACTTACCCACAGCTGATGTTTCAATCGAATAATTGATCTTGTGTAGTTTAGTCCTGAGCGTGCCAAAAGCCCTGCGATGGGGCGCCGTTAACGAGCGATAAACAGTGGGGAAGAAGAGAATCAGTAAACCCGAATTAAAAGTAGGAAGGCAGATAGGTGCTGAGTGGAAACGAGCTGCCGGTAGAGGATGGAAGCGCATACCGTATCTTGCTGCCCGCTGACAGGGGAAAAAGGTGTTTGAGCCACCCGGCAGGATCTTAGTTCGGGCACGGGTACAGACAGGTTACGACTGACTGTCGAAACAGGGACCGCAATATGCGGTATCAGTCCCGCATCAGAGTTCCGGCGGCTCACTACGGGTGTTCAATGGGGATCTAACTTATGGCTCCTATCTCGTTTCGGCTCCCGGGGAAACTATCCTGTTAGTTGCTCTCTCGACCTAGCAATCAGTTAGGTGGAGGTGGATCATGGGGCCACGAGTGGGGATACCGTACATGACCAAAGATTGAGTCAGCGTGATTGCGATAAGGAACGGTCGAATTTTTAGCCTGCGTGACCCAGCCTCTCGCCAGGCAATACCCCGGTAATGGTTGCTGGGGTCCTCACGTGCACTGCCATCCTTGGTTCCCAAGACAAAGCTTATTCTCACGACAGTGTCGCTGACTACGGCGCAGGGAGGACTACCATGGGGGTTGTCCCAGAACCGGAAGGTGAGCTGCATCAATTACGGTACGATACCTAAGTGGATATGGATAAGCCCAAGAACCTCGAGATAGGAGTGTGTTGACAATTTCTCTAGGTTATTGATGAGGTGGGAAGTGAGGCATCGATTTCCTACTATTATTTTTTCTTCAGCTTGCTTTTCACCATCAGCTTGTTGCTCAGTAATATTGTAGCACCCTGAATTTCAACTTGTGATGTCCGATCGCTAGTCCCGGCCCTGGATCCGTGAATTAGAAGCGAGCAAAAATGGGGCTCGTGTTATACTATGGTATCATGATGCCCGCAAACCAGTATAGAATAAGCTATGATACATATATGTGAGAGCAAACCTAACCCTGTGAGGCAGAAACTGAGGAGACATGAGGCAGGAGAGTAAAGACCTCTTGAACCCGCCGACCGCAGCGCTCTTGGGGGGACCACAACCTGTCCTATAGATATCCATACCGATGGCCCAGCCCAACCTAGTCCTACCCTAAGAAAGGCGGTCTAGGCGAATCGATGCTACCGAGTATCCTCATGTTAGTGTCCTCAAAGATCTTGGCTGGGTGGGAAGACTGCTGAGAGCCCCTGGCCGGGCCATGCGGACTCTTTGGTGGAGGAGGTGAAAAGGGTGCGTTAACCACTTGAGTAACCGCCATCGTTAAATTCATCCCCGTACGAAAGCCGAAATTCAAATCCACAGTTATTATAGGCCCAGTGGCTTCAGGGATATATAATCAGGCGTTGGATCTCACAATTGGTCGGCCAACATTTGAGCAAGGGTAACAAAAACAAACTTCTTACTCTCTTAGGCCATGCGGGTCCGTCCAGGGAGGCGATATTTCTGGTCCGCCTTCTTTGGCTCTGGCTGTGGGCCCCATAAGGGAGTTAGTGCTGTGGCAATGAGAGGTGGGTGTAAGATTGTATGTGGTGGCAATGGACGGCTGGGAAAGATGCAGAGAGAGGGGGACTGCGCGGAACGACATGAGAAGATTTTTCCTGGCTTTACCCCCCCGTATATTTATTCCGAATGCCGAATAAAGCAACTGAATGAATGGGACGGGTAGGAATCTCGAAGTTCGAATTTATATATGTGCCTTTTGCTCGGGAATAAATTTTCGGGCTCGGTCATTCCCCAACCAAAACTTTGTTGCTGGGCCGGCAAGCACGTTCCCAACATTTTCCAATGTATCATATGGGTGTTGATATGCGAAAATGGGCTGGACACCTTAAACCTGGTTTTGTGTAATTACAGTTTCAAGTTTACATGGCAACCACAGAAAAATTGTAAAACAAAAAAAATTTCATACTCTCACATGTAACCAGTATTACAAAATTCTTTATAGCAGTCAATTCTACTACTATAACAATGCTCTTAAATATTTTTCTGATAGCTGAAAACTCAGGCTACCTATGTATGCAAAAAAGAGAAAAGTGCAAAATCTGAAAAAATCTAATTGTGAGTCTATAGATGTACAAATTCCTTGGATAAATATTTTTTAAGACTATTAGAGGGTAATCTACATGCTCAAGAAGTTTCATATGAAGTGAAGTATATTTGTTGCGTTGAGAGATTGGTACATTTTTTGCATAACAGCACCCATATGTAAGCCAAGTGTCCGGATGCCAGTGTATTAATTCCAATTTAGGAGCAATAACGAGCTGAGGAAAGAATTGCGGGGGATTAGTACCCCCTAACGGGTGAAGAAATGTATATATCGATGTGAGAATGGTGATTGGAATGGAGAGGAAAGGGCAGGGACTTTACTGGGATTGTCCGAAAAAATTAAGAAGTACACGGAAGGGTTAACATAGCGAAACTTAAGGAATATATGATACTGCCGTTCCGAACCTTCATACGGTTCCTATACAAACCCTGCATCTCTCACCGGTATCTACAACAGGCCTGCACCATCTACGGTGGTGCATGAAAGCTTCCCGAACTCTGAAGCATTGTGGTGCAAATGAATGAACACCAGGAACAACAGTGCTGAAAATGGTTACAGGGTAGGTCTTTGTATCTGCACACGGTAAGGACACTAGCAAGCGGGATTATACAAATGCTCACAATAGTCAAAGCTCCCCTGCTCTAACGCCTAACTATAAAGTATACCAACTTCAATTTGTTGCTTAAAACTGACTAAGCGCTTGAGGAGAGTATCCAGAAAATCCGCTCTGAAATTACTTTCTACGAAATCTCATTTTAAAAACGACGAAAAACCTCTGCGCCCCTCCTAAAAATTAGCGAAGGACCCCCCTTCTTATATAGCCTCCTTCTACTGATAGGACACAAAACACGGAAAACAAATATCGCTGAAAAAGTACGCAGGTCTTCGCGACACGCCTTTCTCCAGCCTTTCACTCGGTGTTTTCAAGGGGACAGCCCGCCCGTCTCGAAGGGAGACTATATAAGGGAGACTATAGCCGACGATAGTGTGCCGTCTCGTCCGGCCGTTTTCTGAATCTACCAGTGCACATGGGGCTGCGACTGTGGCCCGCCCGGACCCCGCGGAACTGTCTCACACCAAGATTATATAGGGATTAGAAACACCCGCTGGTGCTATTGGTCTAATAAGGGTGAATTCCATGGATAAAGCACGCGCACATGGTCTTGACATAGTTATCTGCCGGTTTGGCAGTACTAGGTTAGTAAATTAGGTTGAACCTGACATAAAAACTGGGGGCCGGGCTGATCCTTCGGTATGACCGGGAAGGGGGAGGGAGGTCTCTGGAGAAATAACCCGCTTCTCTGACATATCACCATACCAATAGTGATTGGTATTGCTTCCGATGTTTGGAGTTTGAAGTCCCGCTGGACGCACAACCCAATACACCCCCCTGCCTGCCCCCGCGGCTGTTAATGGCATTGGGAAGGAGAATTTCTGAATATATTCTTGGCCCCTTGAATATGATTAGTCAAGGCCCGGCTTGTCCATTTAAATGTAATTTTTCAAACTTACACTCTTCACAGGTTGTTGGGTGGGCTTACCAAATCCCTCCGATAAGAACTCTATCACAGGCTCGGACCGTCCCCCATATGGTCACCCGGGGCCGCCATCCTATTTGCAGCCAGAGGTGGTTCTCTGCCGTCTGCACGGTTATCACAGTTCCCCTTAGTCCCCTGTGCCAACCCTCTGCTAACTGTAGGGCCCCTAGCCCTCCCTAGTGAAGGCGGTCCTGGGACTTAAAAAGACGACAACATACCACCTCTTGCAATCCCGCCCCGCCCGGAGCTCTAGGTATTCACCCCGCCTGGCCCTACCCCCCCGACGGTTGGGAACACTGCGATTACTATTTCCTAAGGAAATACTCCTAGTTCTGTAAATGCACTCAATATATCTTCCCCCACCGTGGTCAGGCCGGGGTTCTCACTAAAAGGCGACCAACAATAACTTATAATACTTTATACCTCAGGGTACCCGTATTTTCCAATACAATTTAGGACGGAAACTAGTTGCCGGAAGTGTTCCCAGCCGTCCCGGGCGGTGAAAGTAGAGGATGGCCATCTTTGGGTAGGACGGCAGGCCCTGCGTGGTTAAACAGGGTTGGCAAGGGGAACGGTGGGGGACCCCCGGGGACAGCGGAGCACTACCATGGACGGCAGGGGACTGCTGGTGACTACCGGGGACTGTCGTTTTGTCCCTAAAATTTTAGGCAGTAGGACTGCAGTCCCCTGTAGTCCGCCCAGTCCTACCAGCCACGGGCGTAGTCCGTCCTGGCACTGCCACAAAGACGGACTACCGGCTATAGTCCGTCCCGTCCTACCCGGGAGGGGGACAGACTGGACGGTTGGAAAGACTGGTTGCCTGGAGGAGCGAGATATGGGGACCCCGCTTAAATAGTCTTTCTGTGGGATGCACATCCCGCGTGAGGGATAGATGGAATGATGTTCCACCTTTGGGGGTGTTTCGGTCTCATAACACAAACGAGGGCCATGGCCAGGGGGTAATTTTCGGAGTTTACCCTATCATACGGGGGGTCCAGGCCGATAGTCCGTCTAGGACTTGACCTGTCAGGCGTGGGGCGTCCGGGTGCCCCGGAAGAAATGGATTATTTTCGACGGCGGATGGGCGGAGACTTTCACGATACCGCAAACGTACGAACGAACGAACGAACGAGCGGCGAAACGAGCGGCGAACGAGCAGGGATACGAGACAACGGACCAATCGGAACTAAGCGAGTGATGCGCTGTAAAACGGAACAACTCCGAAGGCGGACGGGCTGGACCGTAGTGGAGTTGAAATGCACTATCAATACTTTTCAATCCAAATTGCCCCTCAAAGTTAGATAGTTAGAAGCTCGATGAGGAAAGGTACTGACCATCTGCCTTCGGGTGACCCATTGGTTGCAAGTGAAATCCAACCGCCGATGAAACAATACTCCAAAACAATGCAAATATTTCTGCTTTGTTGGCAGCCACCGGTACCCAATTCTATAGGTATTGTGATATGCCTTGGTGGTTGGTATGAGAGTTTCGGGCTAGCAGAAATTTTCCTGCTAGTAGTTCTAGTTTTGTTTCGAATTGAGTTCCCAATGTTCGGAATTAAGGAGGAAGCAAGGTAGGTATAGGATGATGGTATGATACTCGTCGGTAGTGCTCGGGAGTATTCCGTTTGACTCGGTCAATTGGCTGTGTTGGTGGAATAGCTTCTGTGAGAAAGAGAGGGACCTCGGTGGACGAGAGATACCGGAATCTCCGTGAGTTCATGAGATGGTATCCGGAGCCTGTACTAAATAGATAGACCGTTCTATATAAACCCCCTCCTGCCTCATAGGTAGGGAAGGGCGGCCAGGCAGGAGATACCTAGAAATCCGATGTCTCAATTCTTCTTTATTTTGTTTCCACATGTCCCGGCCAGCGCATCTTACAATATGCTTTACCTTGATGTATTTTCGGTGTTCCCGACCGTCCGGTCCGTCCGTCTTTGTGGTAGGACAGGACGGACCACAGACTGTAGTCCGTCTTTTAGGGGGTGCTAGGACAGACCATGCCCGGGACTGGTAGGACCGGGCGGACTACGGTGGACTGCGGTCTTACAGCCTGAATTCCTCCTCAGGAAAAAAAGGACCTTATAAGCCCTAATGTTTCAGCCGTATCTGGCGTTGTTTGTGCTATGTTGTGTTGTCCCTTGCGATCCCCCCATCATCTGCAGTAGCCCCCTGCCATCTATAGTAGTCCACGGCGGTCCCCTCTACTACCACTGTTTCACCCTGTAGGGCCCGCCGTCCTACCTAAAGGCGCCCGTCCTGCATTTTCACTGCCCCGGACCGACTGCTCACCACCGTCCCCTCCTATCTAGGGCTCTCGCCCCTGGGGGCCCCGCTGGGCCCCTGGACGGTTGGGAACACTGCGTATTCTCCCTCAATTACTCGAGTATGTTGACCATAGAAGTGTAGAAGGGGTCATCTGTAGTAATGGATAATGCAACCGAGAGGGGAAATGATATCTCAAGAAATTTTTTTAGGAGTGGAAATGTCTTATTTCGGTATACAAAAATGATATTTGATGGGCTGTGTGGGGCGGGTTTTGCCGAAATGAATTGGGTGGCCGGTTACTACCGGGATGGAACGGAAATGCTCTCTAGGTACCTGTATAGAAAGAAGGAAGCTGTGATCAGCATCTTGGGAAAGAATTGGCACCAAAAGTAGCTAAAGATAAGGTAGCGGGGTGAAAGGAATGGAAAACTAGGGGGAAGAAAGAGAATAAATACCACACTGGGGTTACAGCAGTCACACCCCATGCCCTCTGCTCGCACAAACACTGCTACCACACCTTTGCACTGGAGGGAGGGTGCCACGCCAAGGGTAACCCCTGCACCCCTCCATATTTGTACAAGGTGGTGTTCGCAACATTGACCCGACCATTTCTCCCCATTGTGTACGGTGAGTTGTGAGTTGCGTATGATACTCTTTATATTCTCACGTGAGGCTCTGAAAGGTCTCACCCGGTTAGGCCACATGCTCTGGACATGGCTAGAGGGGGTTTGGCCATGTGGTTGGGGAATGGGATGTCGAATGATATCTCGTGCTCACCTAGCTTCATGAGAACAACTGGGCAATCAAGGATCAGGAACTTCCACCCCTTGGATGGGACTATCTACTTAGTTTTACCGCCTTGGGGTAGGTTTGAGCGGACTGTGCGGCGGGCGTATCGTATTATTATGGGGTTTCTAATAGGAGCGGGAGGAGAGAGACAGGAAGGCAAGCAGAGTGGTGCTTCTATGAAAAAAACAATAACTCTATCCTTACAATGACAAAGCCCCTTAGTGAGTTATTTCTTCCAGATGTCAAACTGGTTGCTTCCACAACTTGATTCGCTTCCTCCGAACACTATATAGCCGAGTTCTGGGTTAACCAAGGCGCGTTCCTCTACCTGTAGAGTCTAGGGACCGTGAAATGACCGATGACCTCCGGCCAATGCCGACTAACCACCTCACAAAACATGGCCTCTGAACAACATGAAACATAAGCAACGGAAGGAACACCACTAAGGACAAGACCTGGAGACAGCCTCCACCGACCGAGGGACTTGAGGCTATGTCTGTGAGGGTCGGTGATTTTCGGCATCTGGGGGATCAAGATACTCTCCGGTTACCAAGAGCCTTATACGACTGGTATGAATAATAGTTCTTAAAGGGTATATTAGAGCATAAATACGACGCCATCCCTTAGGAGCTACAACCGCTTCCTAAGATTTAACACTGACAAGTGGTGCCCCACTCACGTACCCTAGGAATTCCTAGAACCCGGAGAGAATTACCCGCTTGGCATTATTGCGCTTCTGTTGAGCGTTTGAATGGGGTGGGGTGGTGGTGGTCGAAGTAACATCTGTGCCAATTTTGCTGATGAACCCAAGATCTGTTGTTATGAGACGCGGGGATTGGATAGATAGGATAAAAGTTTGAGAAAAGAGTAGGGTTTCGGAGATGATTGGTGTGTATTGCTCGCCCTTACATCTTCTATCTATGGATAAGAGGCGGTTTATATAGAACAATCAGTCTCCTACCCACTGGCACAAGATCTTCCCGGGTTGTCCAATACTTCTCCGAGGTTCGTGGTTATTCCAGGTAAGCTGCTCCGAGGTATAGCCGAATGGCCGAGCATGGCCGAAGACCTCCGAACACTACCGACTAGTATCCAACGCTCCTGAACCTCCTTTCCGTTGCATCTCTAAAACCTACAATACAACAAATAAAAACAACCTAGCAGGGAAAATCTCTGCTAGTGTGAAACTTCTGTACCATCTATCAAAACACCAATACCGAACCATATGAGTACCGGTGATTTTAAACAAGATCCATATTGTCTGGGGGTGATGAGAGGTGTGCTGATACCGTATTTGGAAGAGTAGGGGGGTTGGTAGGATAGTGAAGCGATTGAAGTAAAAAATTCACATGTGCAGAGTTTATTGAGAAGCTGTCAATTTTAACTGGGAGTCCCTGGATGGCCATCCGCAACGTCCGCTGTTGTAGAGCGGGTTCTCTCCTCAGGTAAGGAGTTGTTATAATTGGTGAGCTTGGGCTTTTTACCCACCCCCTCTACTCTTGAAAACCTTCTTTGCAGTGAACTATGCGCACACTGGAAACCATGTAACTATGCAACTTCGCGCACTGAAACCTTTATTACTTTTTGCCTTCTCTCTCCCTTTGGCCTTTTTTTGCAACATTTTTTGCTTCGTAGAACCCGACAGTAAGGCCTAAAGCCACCTCATCCTTGAAGTGAACCAAAATTCCTTCCTCGCTTATTGTGAACTAAAAGGAGATGATCAGATGCTTTCAGGTGCAATGATGCCTCCTCTCGGCCGCAGGGCTTTATTCTGAAGGATTGCACTGTTTGTGCACCGTGGTTTGTGGGGATATCGCGGCCGTCACGGAGTGTCTGCCGGGCTATATCGACGGGGTTGGCTTCCCCGTCTGATCCGCTTTCAGGCCGAATATGTTACTGAGGTTTTTGAACTTTGACTCTGGAAGTAAAATTTCATCCCCTGGGTTTGGAAATTTCTCCTGTAAATTTGAATAAATATGGTTTGTTGCCACACCGAGAATCAGATGGTTTTCGGGAGCGTCGGGGTAGGTCGGGACACCTGGCTTCTGCTGCCAGAACCCGGATTTGGCCACCTCTCGAAAATGTCTTCGGTATTTTCTAGCGATCTCCAATTGGTGGCTAGCTGTGGTGCGGTGCGGCTTTGATTGCTCTAGGCTAATCTGATGTACTGGGCACGGCCTGGGCTAGTGAAGTTCGGTGGCTGATTGGAATTTCTTCCCCCATCATTGCATACTGATAGTAGAACTTCACGAGACGCATGTGAGGTCGGGTGCATAATAAACACTTTCCAGGGTGTAGGGTTGGTGAGGGTATTTATGGTTTCCAACAATGAAATTTATTGGTAAAGAATTGAGGTTTAACATAACTATACCGGGTACCAAGTATCCAAAATTGGCAATTTATTAGGACCTGTTTAGATACGACCGTCCCCTTCCGTTTTCACATACAAATACTGGGACCCTTGCCTTGTGTACCAGTAATTTTGTATGGAAAAACAGAACGGAACGGTCGTATCCAAACGTGCCCTTAGGGAGCTGCCCTACCCCGTCTGGCGTCTGGCCACCTCCCGTCCCAATTTCAATGCCGCTCACGCCTCAACCTCTCCTTCAATAACATCTTCACCCGCAAGTCATACCCCCGTTCTACAAACTCTACGAAGGACACCCCATATTCTGACTCTCGCAGATATACATTGACACTTTCGGCCTGGAGCAATTCCTCCACAACCTCCCACCACAACATCTTGCCTGCAAGAAAAAGCGCCGTCTGTCCCAATCCTGCAATCCCATTAATCTCTACTCTTCTATCCTTCAGCATTTCTCTCACAATTTCATGTTGGCCAAACCGTGCTGCTAGGCCTAGGGGTGTCCAGTTACCCGCTCCTGGGAGATTGGGATTTGTAATTTTTGGGTCGTGGAGAAGTTGTGCAAAGGTATCCAGATTCCCGCGCTCCGCGGCTGTATGAAGTGGGGTATCCCCGTTCATGGACGGAATGAGTGCGTCAACCGATGGGTGCGAGAGAAGCAGGCGAAGGACATCGGTACGGGAGGATGTGACTGATAAATGGAGTGGTGTGAAGCCCATCCTGTTGCGGGTGTTGGTGTTTATCCTTCCGTCTGCCAGTAATTGTTCCACGACCGATACATGGCCTTTGCAACTAGCGATAGCAAGCGGTGTCTCAGCTCTATCGGAGCGATAGTTCAGCAGAAGGTCATTTCTCCTGAGTAGTGCCCTGACAACCTCCGAGTATCCCAACTTCGCTGCAATCCAGAGGGGCGTTCTGGCCCAGATGTCGCTTGTGTTAATATTCACTTGCTCGCACTCAAGGAGCACTTTCACAACATCGAGTTTCCTAGCTTCGACTGCAAAGGCGAGGGGTGTTCTGTGTTTTATGTCCCTTGCGTTGACATCCAGCCTCTTATTCTTGGGGAGAACTGTCCCAGCTGAGCGAGGGAGAGGCTCGTTCGGTAGGGATTGTTGTGACATATTTTCTCCTTGTTCCGCCATATCTAAGACATAAAACTGAGTCCAGGGAGGAAAAGCAAGGAATACGCAAGTAGTTGTATACCTGCGATTAGATGGTTAGCAAGAGTCAGATAAAGAAGTAAAGAGCGGAATAAGAACAGATTATTTAGTTTTGCTGTCGCGTTCCCAAAAATGTCTGTCTCCGCGTTCAACTTCGTTGTTCACAGGTGACTGGCGGTGCTCGGGCACCAGCGACACAGAGAAGAAAGGATTACCGGGGTGAGGGGGCCTTATATATACCTTTTAGTAGGGGCTAACGTTTTCAAGAACTGTCACTACATGAACCCTATAAAAAACTAAGGAAAACCTAACTAAGGCTTGTGCATAAAAATGAGGGTTTACACAAAAAGGGGTTGTACAGTTTTCTTCCCCATGTTATTTCGACAGTAACGGCCAATACAATATTTCAATAGAAGGTGCTCCTCACATTGTTCTGTCCTAATTGGGAAATGGTTAGAGGACGACAGATTTGGGCGGTCAGGAAAACGGCAATGTTTCCACAGGTGGTGTTCCAGATGCCACCATATTTCTCAACATCAGCCATTTCCATACTCCTTAATATGTAGTCCAACTACTATTTACTCTTTTGTTGATAGCGTTAGAGTACCAGCTGTCGAAATATGGTGTGATCTTTTCGTTGGAGGTGTCATATTGTTTGGAGTGTTGAAACATACTATGGCAGGACTTGGTGTTTCGACGCTCTAATTTCTAGCAACCAGCGCTCGGAAGATAGTATACCTGGAGAATAAGGATAGCAGGAATTTCAATACTAGTATTGGGGAATACTGTGAAAGAAGGCTGATTCTATGTATTGGATTAGAATTGGAATGGCAGAGACTTTCACACCCTTTTTATTTTTTTAATTTTTCCCTGTGTTGATCCCTATTCTCCCCAGCACTGTCTGTGAACACTGTCAATAAAGAGTCCTGTATCGTGTCTTTCTTTTCAGTTGATCACGCGATGTATTACCGTTCTTTCCATCATTCACTCTTTGCCATCGACTTCGCCTCCTTTTGTTCTTTTATCACTCTCTTTGTTGCTCTTCGTTAGAAGTGAATATACCGGCTTATATCCTCTTGCCCTATATACTTCACATGGATCTCTAGGAACTGTGCTGTTTTGGAAATATAGCCTTAGAAAATTTGGTGTAAGTGCTGAATAGGAGTTTAGTTTTGCGCGCTGGCCTCACCCAGGCATCTGGAATTGGCCCTTGCCACGGCCGAATCCCACAATAAACATGCACGAACAGCAGAGTATTGTGAGAAACAGCTCCCTATGACTGGAATCTCTTTGATTTTATGAGCTCATTTTTTTGATGAAGGGAGCGCCGGCTGAGAATCCTAGGGGGGTTACGTCGGGGAGGGGACTGATGCATGGTTTCTGTCTAGAGGCTAATTTTTTATATGTATGATCATGTAGAAGGAAAGCGAGCTAGAGGGTTGGTTTTTGGTGCTTGGAAATATCTGGCTTAGAGATCGATAATGGGCTACCGGGGTGGAATCATGGTATCGCACTCGCCTGTTGCATGCAGGACTCTTGATTGTGTCATCACCATCTAGAAATGACCTAGGCTAACTGCCTGCTAGTATCATACTAGAACCATAGAAAATAAATAAAACTACCTAAGAAGGGATACCCAGGCTAGGGGACCTCTCCTCCCTGGTATATTCTGCCCGCATACCTCGTTCCCAACCTTTTAATGATATAACGTGATTTACGTGGAAGCGGCTCTTCACCGGGATGCGGCTCACTCATGGCAACCAGGAGAAAATGAAATACTTTTTCAATTATATCTACAAATAATCATGAGACCACCTTGAAATCTTATCAGTAAGTGCTTTGAAATATGGAGAATCAGACTATGTAAATTATATTTCATAATTATCAATTATTCTTTTTGTACAATGTTTTTAAAATTGTTTCTTCCAAATAAATTTGCCATGACTCCCTTGCAAATAAAAATTAAAAAATAACTTAGAAGTAGCTTTGTAGGTTATTCAAGAGATTGAATAAGTCATATAGGATTATAGTCAATAGTTATTACTTTTGCTTATTATCTATTTTCAATGTTATAATGCCTAGTAGATTCTGATAAAAAGTAAGCAAATTACATACAAATTTAGAGTATTTGACACTAGTATAACTTACTCCTATGGTAACCTATAACTTTGTTTTTTTGAAAGCTACTTTACAATGTCTATTATGACAAGCACACCAGCTCCAAAAATGCAGAAATACATTTTCCATATTATATGTGCATAATACGATTAGTAGTAGAATGGTAGACAAAGAATTTGAACTCTTTATTATCAATCTAGATACCTAGTACTGGTTGGCAAGGCAGCTTAAAATTTTGCTATTATGTATACTCTAATTAGGAGATTAAGATATAATTCTAAAACTTTGATTAAATACTGGTCTTCTATGAGATTATAGTATAATTAAAATACTATAATTATAACTAATAACTTCT